TTCTCACCTGAAAATGTGTTAAAAGTGTATTTTGTGACTCACAAAGAGAAATAAGAGTAATATTTAAACTAAGTGGCTGCCGCCATTGTTGGAAACTGGAATTGGCTGGGCCGCGCTATGAATTCTGGGATATGGTTTTTCTATTTTGTTGTCCAGGTGGAAAATCGGGAGAAATTCAGGAGAATGGTGGCTCCGGGAGATTTTCGGGAGGAGCACTGAACTGAAATTTGGGATTCTCCCGGAAAAATCGGGAGGGTTGGCATGTACGACAGATGCATCGACTAACTTTTCCAATAATGACGTAATTCAGAGACGCGCTTCTCTTACAGTTCGTTTTAGCTGAGTGCAGAAACACGACTCACCAGCCAACATTAAATCATGAAGCTAGTGTTACATAGTTACAGATAGTAAAAGGTATAAATCAAAAGTATGTTTCTATTTCACACTGCTGGACAACTTGTGCTAATAAGTGTTGGTTACTGCAGATCACACTGTTGTTTAGTCTGAGACACCAACTGTTTGCTGATTTTCTTGCTGTGATAATTCAACGTGCACCTTAGATTTATATTCAAGTCTTGAATCTAATGTGCTGAAAACAGGTCCAATGGCACACCACAGCCTTTTGTTGTTGGCTGACCTACACCTCATCAGCATTGTTACTAAAAGTCAGAGACCAACATGTTTTTTCTGTGAAAGGAAACATGCAGCAGGATTTAACCGTTTCTAGCTGGCTGATGTTTTTGATACACGACTGTGTTTCTATAGAGGCTCCTTCCCTGACTCGCACAGTCTGCATGTTACAGATGTTAAACCTGTAAGTCATGATGCTTCAGTGGTGAAAGCACTGCATGTATGACTGAACGAGCGTTACTTGTGTTGTGACCTGTGGTGAAGACTAGAAAATATCACATAAACCTCAATAACTGCATTCTAGCAGCTTGCAGCTCTTTCTCTGGTATAGCTAGGCAAAAAATCTCTCCCCCATCTCCCCCTTTCCTCTTCTCTCTATTGCTTTTGCGTTTGTTTTTTCCTTTTGATCCCACTGAGTAGTTTTCTCCAAGTTGAACCAAACAGCATGAAGCACCACCCTTTACTACTGAGGACTGCGTCTCCTGGCTCGCTGCACCACTCTGACAGATACAGTCGATTGAGGGTTGGAGAGAGAAGGAAGCAGTAAGAAGACTTCTTCATGATGTTAAGTGTGAACATTTTAAATGACCCCACCATGACCTCTGTTTAACCAGATGGAGATGACCCCCCTGCCCCACACAGACACACAGTGTATGCTAATGTCATAGGGTGAAACAGCTGGGTATTTAGGCCATGTTGAAAAAGAACAGTGAAAGAGCAGCTTAGTGATAATAGCATTATTCTACTGACTGACAGACTCAGAGTGAGGCTTAGCAGCAACACCATTATTCTCACCTGGAGCCAAGTAACGAGCTCTGAGAAGCCACAGTTTGCTATCTGAGCCCTCAGGACTCCAAACCTCTACTTTATGTTTTAAGGTCTATTGTGAACAGGATCCCAACTCCTTGACTTTGACCACTGTTTGAACAGCTGTGTGCACACAGTTTGCCTGTGGATGCTTCCTGTGCTTTCATTAAAACCTAAAGATTTGTTTTATGCCTGCAGTGACACTGAATTCAAGTCAAATGATAAGAATGGGTATTTTTCCTTTAACTTGACAAGTATTTTCAATTCAGTTCTACTTAATTTATATATTGCAAATCACAACAGCTGCTGCCTCAAGGCAATTTATATTGTATGGTAAAGACCTGCAATTTTAGAGAGGAAACCCCCCAAATCACTCAACCCCCTGTGAGCAAACACTTGGCAACTGTAGGAAGGAAAAACTCCATCTAACAAGAAGAAACCTGCAGCAGAACCAGGCTCACCTGGGGGTGAGGGAAGAGATGAAGGAGAGCAGAGGACCAAAGACAAATGTGGGAAAGAGACAGAATTTGAAATTCTCCTTCTGGATTTTGAGAATTATCAGGAAGTGTCTCCTACTTCCTGTCAGGACTCTCGCTGCCACAGTCAGACTCGTACACAGTGAGGATGTAACACTGTTAACAAACTGAGGGAATAAAGTTTAGGTAGCTGCTGTGTGTTGTTTTAGGCAGATGCCACTGAAGAAGATAAGAGCAGAGGAATCAGCTGAAAACACTGTTTACAGAAATACTAGTGTAAAAATGTCCTATAGTGAAACGTATTCCCCGCTGCAGTGTAGCTGATTATTGTAAATGTTAGTAAGACATGTTTAGACAATCTGCTGCAGAGATGTGGT